AGAGAGAGAGAGATCTGTGAAGAGATTAACAAATTGTATTGTTTCATTTTTAGTTCAATGAGACCGAAAATCGTCTTGACAAACTTGTACAAAAGATCCCAGAATTTGTAAGGAAATGCCAATCATTTTGCGATACTTCAAAAGATATTAATGCACATCGAAGATTAAATAGCTTGACGCTAACGCGAAATGCAGAACTACTTGAAATTCTCGAGATGCCCCAATTAATGGAATCGTGTCTGAGAAGCAACCAATATAACGAAGCATTGGAATTGTCTCAATATGCTCGTCAATTGGGAATGAAACATGGAGATATTCCTATTATCTCGGTACAAGCTTAGCAACCTTTCGTAACACATGCCTTCTTTAGTACCATATTTGTGTTTTATTTTATTTTTGCTTTATTTTTATTAATATTTCAGTCTATAGTAGCAGAGATCGAAAGTAGCTGGTCGGGTATGGTAGGACAAGTAGTTGGCTCTCTGAGAGGAGATTTACCGCTTCCGAGATGTCTTCAACTTGTCGGTTTGTTGCGGTCTATGGATGCATTTACAGAATCAGAACTTCGTATAAAATTTCTTCAAGCGAGAGATAGCTGGCTTCAAGGCTTGCTGAATGCAATACCGAAGGAAGATCGTAAGAGGGCTTTCTATTTAATTATAATACAATACGAAAACTAAATTGATCAAACCGATAAGAAAATTACATTTACAATGTGTTGCAGCTAATCTTCATATGGCCAAAACAATAGAATTATCCAGGATACATTTATTCAATATAATAACTCAGTATAAAGCTATGTTTAATGATGATGAATTAGTAATTCCTGGCCGCGACTTGACATTAAATGAATCTGCGATATTTTATCATTGGTTGGAGGAAAAGGTAGATTTGTGTAACAGACAAGGTGCACATACAGGTATAATGTAAACGGAAATGTGATTAAAGTTTGTTTTTTTCTTTTTCTAGATAACGCAATTTCTTGCTACGCTAGAGCAAGACTTACCAGGCGTAACGTCTGTAGATACCATTTTGGGTCAGTGTACATATTTTGGATTATCATTTGGTCGAGTGGGCGTCGATTTCACTGGTCGAATGTCGGATATATTTGTACGAGTTATCGGTGAAAGGTTTGAACAGAACGTTCGTAGAACAACTCGAAAGTTTGAAAAAGATATGGAAACATTTACATTGATTAACAAAACACAACGACTTGATGTAAAAACGGAGACTTGTATTCATTCTGTAAGTATAAAATAGTATCTTTTAAAGTTTTCATTAATTTACTATTGTAAACTGTTTCATAGGAAAATCCGCCTGAACAACTGGCAGAATTTTATCCTCTGGCCGAATATTGCAACGGGATAATAGCTGCATTTAATGAATTGAGACTCTGTGCACCAGTGGCACTCTCCACTTTATGCACAAAATTGTTACAAGAGTCGTTGCATAATGTGGCGAGGGCTATGCTGATATTTTACAAGCAAGAACAGCAAGTAAGTTTGCATTGTCATGTAATTTTTATTCACAAGTAAATCTTCTATATTTTATGTCATAGGCATTTGCTGCCGCGGAACGGGAAAACATGATTAAGTTTACAGAATGTTTAAGCGAACAACTAATACCTTATATACAGTATTGCATACATGCAATTTTTCCACCTGTCCAAATTGCAACTCATTTAGGAGTATCAGTCAGTGTATTGCAAAAAGAGGTATGAATCCTTGAATGGCATAAGAAGGCGGATATATATATATATATATATGTGTGTGTGTGTGTGTGTGTATGTGTGTAATGACGTAAAATCAATTACAGGAGATCACATATTTAAATAAGCGGATTGTAGTAGAACCTGTGGCTGTACTATTACCTATTAGAAAAGATTGTTTGGCTTCCAAATCATGTACATCTAATGTACAGCCGTTAACACATAATATAAGGAATTCTTCCATCGCAACGTCTCTACCAATAGAAACGATAGATTCAAATTTGAGAAAGACTACAGTGATAGAAACAGAAAAATCAAAAGAAAACGAAATTATTCAACAAGGAACGATATAAAAGTGCGATATGCAAAGTACGCAGAATTTTAGCGATGATATAAGGATATTGTATAATATACTTGATGTGTAAGGACTTGAAGTATTTAATTATGTAAAGTTCGACACTTGCTTACTATTCTATATATATATATATGCATATATCTCTATAAGGTAATGTAAATAAAAAGATTTTTACGATTATCAGGGCGCTTGTCTTTATTTTTTGAAAATGCATACAGAAGAGATAAAAATTTGACAAAGTGAAAGTGCAAAATAATTTAATCTTAAAGTAAATATAAAGCAATTAGACTTCAATAGATATCGAAAATATTTATTCTTTCATACACTCCTCCGTAACTTGACTCGGTTGCCCGATATCATTCTCATTTTTCTTCTTTTTACTTCCGGAAACAATGTCGTCTATTCTCAATAACAGGATAGCAGTCTCGATCGCCGTTTTATACGTTTGTAATTTTACAGACAATGGTTCCCATATACCGCGTTCCTTCATGTCGACCAATTTTCCCGTTTCTCCATCAATGCCCCAAGTAGTTCCTTCTGTTGCGTGTTTAGCGCGCAACGCCGTTAGAGTCCTGATAGTATTTGCGCCACAATTCTGCGCTAGCGTCCTGGGAATGATCTCCAAGGCCTGTGCGATCGCCTTGTATGGCCATTGTTCTACACCTGCAAGTCCTGCCGCCTTTTCTGTTAAAAGCCGGGATACTGCCATTTCCACTGCTCCACCACCTACGAGGGGAAAAAAAAGGAAAAGGAACCAAACATAAAAGATATAATAAATCATTTCGACCAAAAAAAAAGTATTGTATAATATAGATATATACATATATGTATATAGAATAGTAAGTGTCCAACTTTACATAATTAAATATTCAAGTCCTTATATATCAAGCATATTATACAATAACTAATCTTACGCACCTGGTACGAGTTTTGGATCGACAAGGAGATTTCTGGCGACATGCAACGCATCTTGCAAATTTCTCTCAGTCTCATTCAAGATATCTTTACTAGCACCTCTCAGAATGATTGTACAAGCTTTAGGATCCTTGCATTCTGTGATAAAACAGAAATAATCGTCACAGAGTTTCTTGATTTCAAAAAGACCAGCACCCGTCCCAACATCCTCTTCCTTGAGTTCTTCGGTGCGATTGACAACGGTAGCACCACAAGCGCGAGCAATCCTGTTAATGTCACTCTTTCGTAGCCTGCGTATCGCGGATATGCCGGCTTTCACGAGGTAATGCTGAGCAAGATCCGATATGCCTTTCTCTGTGATCACGACATCCGGTTTTACCGAAATAACATCCTCGCATATCTTCTTCACATACTCCTCCTCTAGTTCCAAAATCTTTGTGAAATCAACATCCTTCATTATCTCTATATTCGTCTGAGATTCGCCCTTCTTATATTCCAATGGACAATCCAGCAGTACTATTCTCGGATCTTTGATGTAACGTCTCATTTTTGGATGTGTCACATCCTTATTGATCATCACACCCTTGAGAACAGTACTGTCCTCCATCGTACCACCGGGTATCTTCTCTACCTTGGCATAGCGTTTAATGTCGATCTCTCTTCTGCCGTTCTCCTCGAGCATCACGGTGTGAACAGCGTCCAAAGCGATTTGACAGGCTAATTCAGACCAACGTCTGATAAATTTAGTACCTGTACAGGAGTTTATCACTTGGACCAACTTACTTTTGTCGCTGCAATCTAAATCGATACTGACTTGTTCATTGAGAATCGTGACCATATCTTCCAAAGCCTGACGATACGCTCTTATGATGACAGTAGGATGCATGTTCTGTTCCAAGAATGGTTCGGCGGTAGCCAAGATCTCGCCTGATAGGACAATCACCGAAGTGGTACCATCCCCTACCTCTTCATCCTGAGTCCTGGCAATTTCTATCATGGACTTTCCAGCAGGATGCTGCACAGTGATCTCGCGCAAAATCGCGTTACCATCATTTGTCATTACGATGCCACCCATTGGATCCATCAGCATCTTCAACATGGCTTGAGGACCCAAACATGTTCTAATGACGTCGGCAATTGCCTATATATATACAA